AAAAGTCAGCGAGAGAGAGAGGGAGAGAAAGAGGAAGAAAGTGAGCGAGAGAGAGAGAGAGAGAGAGAGAGAGAGAGAGAGAGAGAGAGAGAGAGAGAGAGAGAGAGAGAGAGAGAGAGAGAGAGAAAGCGAGTGAGAGAGAGAGAGAGAGAGAGAGAGAGAGAGAGAGATAGAGAAAGCGAGTGAGAGAGAAAGAGAGAGAGGAAAGAGAAAGAAAGCGAGTGAGAGAGAGAGGAAAGAGAAAGAAAGCGAGTGAGAGAGAGAGAGAGAGAGAGAGAGAGAGAGAGAGAGAGAGAGAGAGAGAGAGAGAGAGAGAGAGAGAGAGAGAGAGAGAGAGAGAGAGAGAGAGAGGGAGGGGGGCGGCGGCACGTATGAACCCACCTGCGATAGGTCTTACCCCCTCCGTGGCACTATCCATTGCAAGGAATAAGGTTAAGGGCACAGCCATAGAAGGCGGGTGAAAGTGCCAACAGCGGCCAGAAAGGGGCAACGTATGATACGGCACCTGATGCCCGCGTCGCGTTGGGAGACACGGCGGTTGCAATAGACCGAAACGCGTCTACAGGAAGCTGAATACATTTTACGCTGCTGTAATACTTCCTGTTGTAACTCTCGGCTCAGGTGCTACGAAATCGCTTACAAAAAGGAAAAGTCCCTCCTCCTTCAGTCCCTGCGGAGGCGTCGCTGCGCGCATCGGAGAGGGCCTACGCGAACCAATCCACGTATGAATAAAATGAAAGACATGATCACCCCCCCCCCCCTCACAGTTCCTCCGGCCAGACCTCCCCCAGAACGGAGGACAGTGTACCTGGACGGGGAGGCGTGGGAGTGCCTTGGTGTGAAGATAATAACGGTCGTCACCAGAGGCCCACCAGGAAGTAGTGGTCTCCGTGCCACTCAATCACCAGCGCCCGGGAGGGGAGGGGAGGGGAGGGGAGAAACATTCTCCATTCACACCTTTTAGTAAGGCTAATGCAGCACTCGCAACAGGCAGAGTCCAGCACGTGCAATAGCATGCTGTCACCCTGTCCCTCTCCAGCAGGCCCCAACGCCGTCGCCAACTCCCAATGCGCACTTTTCCGTTCGAAAAATCCGTTCCCCTGTGGCGACCCCCCCTCCAAGACAGTCAGCCCACCCTCGGAGCGCTCGGCATGCGGGCGTGCAGACAGCCTGCAGGGCATCGAGCCGGAAAAGGAGAAAATGGTAATGCCGATGAAAAACTGGTCGGCTTCAGAGGTGGAGGTACACAAATGGCCGGCAGGAAAAAAGGCGGAAGCGAAGTTCAGAGGCGGCAAGACTCGGCCAGGATAGTGACACGGCTGTAATGAGGGAAGCGGGAGGTCACGCGCACAGGGCCTCCCTCACACAGCCCTTGCACGGCCGTCAGGGGGCGTCGGCTCTCTCGCCCTCGCGCGCAAGCCTTCGCGCTCCGATACCAAAACATGAACCGGCTTCCGCGAAAAGGAGATTCACATTGATAGCGAACAAAGGATAGAAGGAAGATGGAAGACATGAAAGAGTTGAAAGGGAAAGGAATGGAAGGAAAAGGAGGGGCTGCCGGAAGAGCACGCGGTTAAATGTGCAACCTGCAATTATGACCCACCTCGACCTTGGCCTAAATGGGGAGGGGGTCTATTCACATCGTCTTAAACAGGGAAGTACGAGGTGTTGCCTTCCCTCCCTCCCTTCTGCCCTCTCCCCTTTCCCCTCCAACTCCACCTCCCTCCCTTCCCTATCCCCTTCAGTTCCTCCTCCCTTCCCCACCCCGCTCCCCCTCCAACTCCCCCTCCCTCCGTTCTCAAACCACTTTAAGTCAGTTTCCCCGGCGTTCCCATACGAGTCGCGGGCGCCGTAGACGTGCCTGCAAGTAACCTACATTTGACAGGCGACACGAGAACAAGGCGACGAGACCACGGCAGTGACGGCGGCGGCAGTGCCAGCAGAGGCTGTAACGATTCGCTAGTGGTTGCGGTTCAGAATGTACCGAGTAACGCGAGACGGAGTGTTACGTCACGTGGCATGTGTTAACAGCTCGGGTTAACGCAGACGAGCGGGGGAGGGAGCGCGATACCCTGCTCCCTCCACCACCTGCTCTGTACATGCACAAAGCTCCATTACCGTCCTAATGTTGTGGTGCAAGTGTGCAACCTGCCTCCCCACCAAAAGAGGGACCACCGTGTGCACGAGCAGGGGGGTGGCATTAACGAGGTGTGTGTACCTGTGTAGTGCACATGGCTGGCCCGTTTGAGAGGAGGCGCCAAGCTGTCTGAGGCAACCCGTCGGCCCCGACCCAGCCAGCCAGCCACACGCCATCGCCGTCCCGCCACTCTGCCCCGCCACACACTCTCGCCGCTCCCCGCCACGGCCACACACACGTCACTCCACACCGCACTCACTCACACAAGCACACACGCACCACGCCACACCGGGATCACAACAAAACCTGATCCCTGCCCACTCTCAAGCTGATCTGCTTCTTACTACACACCGTCCCCCTCCCTTCCCTGAACTGCCTCTTTCATATTCTCCCCGACACTCGCCACTGCACGCCTCCCTTCGCCAGCCCTACCAGACACCCCTTTCGGCCCTTATCCAGGCTAAGGGAAAAGCATCACGTATTCTGAGCACCGGGCCCTCCGCTGCTCCTCCAGGTGAGTGAGACGCCGTCATAGGTGGCTATCCATGACCTTATTTCTTCCTTTACCTTTACAGGTCTAGGCGCCCCGGCACTTGCGCCCGCCCTGTACCCTTTCCCTATACAACCAACTCCGACTCGCAACTTCTCTCGCGCCTGGTAACAATGTTACGCTGCAAATCGCTCACCCCCACGGTTCGTTATCGCGTTTCTACAGAAGGTTGTGTGGTTTCTAATGCCCAGACTCTATAACGTGGCGAACGTTCTTGCTACTAGTTATCGCAATCTCTATCTAACTATACCAATAAGAGCCTTTACATAAATAAACCCCACGAGCGGATTTCACCCCGGCCTTTCCTCTCTCTCCTTCCATCTCTCTCCATAACACCGTCGCCGACTCTCCTAATGAACGAGCGGCCGCGGCGAGGGACGAGTGCGGCGGTGCTGCGGCAGGCAGCGTATCATGACCAGACCGGTGTGGCGACAATCTCGAGTTACGTATCATCCTCCGTGTGCGTGGCTCTTCTCCATCGCAACCGAGTATGTTTCCAAAGTACACCCGAGGTGGCAAGTTCTGTATAATGGGATTATTCTTCGCGAAGATATGTGTATGGGGCGCGTGCGCGTGAGGCGGGGAGGGGTAGGGGCGGACTACGAGTGCCACCCGCCTGGCAACAAACCCGCCCTTCCTTGTAAACTTATGATCTTTTTAACAAGATCTTTCCGCCTTTCCGCAGACGCAGCAGCACCGCATAATCCTGTCCGTAAATGATGAAGCAGGGGGCAAGTCTCACAAGTGCCCCGCCCCCCTAGCCTTGGCACGGCACTCCCTGTAATTACATTAGCTACTTTCTCCCTGGTGCCGAAGTCGGAGCCGAAGTGCGACTGTCGGCTGAGTAGTCAATTTTTAACGGGATAACAACAGGCGGTCGCGCGTCCGTGGAGCTTCGCCTCAGCTCCTCTCGTCGACGTGGAAGGCCTATGCTCTTCCATACTTCGGGTCTTTGCTTAAACAAATTAGCTTACACTTCGCGTGCAAAACGACCGCATGCGAGGCGCCCTATCCTCAGTGCAGTCCCTACCGCGAGTCCAGGCCTCATGCCAACATATCACCCAAGAATATCTCCAACATATTGTAACAGCTTATCCAAGATTCAGATTAAAATCTACAGTTGTTGGCTGACGGGAGAACTATTATACTCCTATCAAAGGACTTTCAAAATAAACTGTGATCATATCGAGCGCCAAGGAGAGAGAGAGAGAGAGAGAGAGGGAGAGAGAGGGAGAGAGAGGGAGAGAGAGGGGGAGAGGGGGAGAGAGAGAGGGGAGAGAGGGAGAGAGGGAGAGAGGGAGAGGAGAGAGGGAGAGGGAGAGGGAGAGGGAGAGAGGAGAGAGAGAGAGAGAGAGAGAGAGAGAGAGAGAGAGAGAGAGAGAGGGAGAGGGAGAGGGAGGGAGGGAGGGAGGGAGGGAGGGAGAGAGAGAGAGAGAGAGAGAGAGAGAGAGAGAGAGAGAGAGAGAGAGAGAGAGAGAGAGAGAGAGAGAGAGAGAGAGAGAGAGAGGAGGAGGAGGAGGAGGAGGAGGAGGAAGAAAAAGAAGAAGAAGAAAGGAGAAAGGAGAAAAAGAGGAAGAAGAAAAGAGGAAGAAGAAAAGAAGAGGAAGAAAAGAAAGAAGAATAGAAAGAAGAAGAAAAGGAAGAGGAAGAAAAAGAAGAAAAGGAAGAGGAAGAAAAAGAAGAAAAGGAAGAAGCAGAAGAAGAAAAGGAAGAAGCAGAAGAAGAAAAGGAAGAAGCAGAAGAAGAAAAGGAAGAAGCAGAAGAAGAAAAGGAAGAAGCAGAAGAAGAAAAGGAAGAAGCAGAAGAAGAAAAGGAAGAAGCAGAAGAAGAAAAGGAAGAAGCAGAAGAAGAAGAAGAAGAAGAAGAAGAAGAAGAAGAAGAAGAAGAAGAAGAAGAAGAAGAAGAGAGAGAAAGAAACAAGTCGACACACCAACCGCCCAACCGAAGCTTGTTTCAAAAGTCTAAGGCGCGCACATGCCGCGTTTCCCCGCGTAACATGAGCACTCGAACGTAAATCTCCAAAACAAACAAAAACAAAAGAAGGCCAACGTTCGTCTTAATTCCCAGATACCCAAGATCTAACAATAAATGAACCAGTTACTATAAGACTGATCTGCTCCTCTAACCCTCAACAAATTTACATTTTCCAATAAAAAAAAAACTTTAAATCTTAAGTATTATCTAAACCATCGTTTGTAGCTTTTATCAACCATAACGAACCCATCCACCTAAAGAGCTTACATCTATTTCTAAACATCATCCATCAAAACAAAAACATTCAAATCGCAAAGAAAACGAGACTTAATTACTCACCATTGCTTGCTCGATCTTGTTGTCAATGGCGACTGTGCTGGCGGTGGAGGCGCTGCAAAGAGAGAGAGAAAAAAACGAGTTAGTATTGGGTGATCGTGATCGCTTATCTCCGGTGCCAAAAAGTGCCAAAACAGTGCCAGCGCTCTTATGCAACCCCGAAATAAGAGCCCTCGAAAGAACCAGGAACTACGTAAGAGAGACGAGTGAGGAAGCGAGAGGAATGCGGGGGAGAGAGAGAGAGAGAGAGAGACACGTCAAAATACTTCGTCCTTGTCTTCGCACTCGACTCTTCCCGGCCTCTTGCGTGCCCTCTGCTTCGTCCTCGCCTTCAAGTCCTTCCTTCCCCATTTCTTCTGTCCGATCTATCTCCCTTTTTTACTCTTTCAACGACCCTTTTTTTTTCCTCTTCTCCATCTGTCTCATTCCTTGTCCTCGTCCTTCTGCATATCGGTCAAGGGGTAAACAAAGACAAGCTCACAAGATCTTCCGCCCACACTTAGAACCCCCCCCCCATCCCCACACCAACCCCCAATGCGCTGCCATAGAGGGTATGAGGAAGTAGATATGGGTTTTTACATGAAGCGGGTAAGGGTTTTGTCCGGGCATTCGCGTGAAAGCTTTCGGGCGCGTGGGCGTGAACACATGTGATATTACTGAGGAACACCTGTCCGGCCACACGAACACCTGCGCCGCCGTATCGCGTCACACCCTTATTTCGCACTCGAGCCACATGGACGGCGAGTTCCGGTGCCCGAGATAACGATAAAGCTTGATAAGCGTTCTTAGGCAATCCCGATGTATTCCTCATCCATAAAAAAATATGTTAAATGAAAGCAGGAAGGGGAAGCGACGGTGAGGAAAGAGAGAAGAGAGAATGAGAAATGAGAGGATAGAGAAGGAAAGGGAAAGGGAAAGGGGAAGGAAAAGAGAAAGAGGAACGAGAAAAGAGAAGAGAAGAGAGGAGAAGAGAGAGAGAGAAGGGGTGGGGAGAGGGGGCTCTGCGTCTTAGTCCCACGTCTCGCATATCAAATCGCCGTCAGCAGCGATCGAATAACGTCGCTCAAGCGATCGAATAGCGCCGGGGCATTTCGCTTTACGTCAGTGCCGCGTGCTAGCTGTCTCTGTCGCCAAGCATCGGTCGACGTCGTCCTCCGCCGCAGCCACTCCCCAAGCCACGTCCTCCTCGTATTTTGCACCTCGATGAGCACAATTGGATTACGTCATCATTGCCCCATATAAAAAGGTCAGGCCAGAGCCGATAGCGGTGACACATGCACACGCACCAAGGTCGCCTTCCATTGGTTGCCTTCCGTTGCTAAAGGCCGTCGAGGTCACGGCAATGGCTTCCCTTACCCCTTCCCTCCATCCTTATTCTCTTCCCCCGCTCCCCCTCATCCCTCGCCCCCTCTGCCGTTCACGCAACCTCGAGCGCGGGCGTGGAGGCAGGCGGTGGGCGGCAGTCGCATGGCGAGCTGGTCCCGCCAGGCGAGATCCGCGTCGACGGACCTTGCTCCTAGCCTTCCTTCCTCCCCAGTAGGCCTCGCCTCATGGTTGTCGGAAGGGCGGCAGTCGAGGGAGGCAGGAGCGGCCTAGGGGCTGGTCTGGAGGCGAGGGTCCCGCGCGGGGCGTTGCTAGACTCTCCTGCGTGAAGGAAGCCTCGGTGACTCATCAACTCTGACATCATCTAGATAAATAATGGCGGAGTCGGTTGGTCTAGCTTTTTGCTCGTGTTGCTGTGTGAGCCAGGGCGGGGCCGAGGAGGAGTGAGTAGGGAAGACGCAAAACAGGAGGGGAAGATAAAAGAGAAAGAGAGCGAAGGAGGAAGAGAGGCAACGCCATTGCAACTTTAACTGTTTAAGCAGAAACTCATACAAGGGGGTCGCCAGCCACAACAAGCGCCGCCCAGCATCCTCGCCTTGCAACCCCACCAGCGCCTCGGGAGTAGCCAAGTCCTTCAGATCTTTCAAGTTGAATAACCTCCTCTCCATACCTACGACCCGTAACTCTTCCTTGCCGCCTGGAGGCCACCCTGTGGCCCTGGGGCGCTCTAGAGCTTCTCTCCATTCACTTCCTCCCGCAGAAGGGGCGGCCGGCGATGCCTGAAAAATCCGACAGACAGCGAGACCCCAACGAACGTGAATGTCAGTGGTTGACCCTGCGCGGTGCCGCTGCCAGGTCACTCGAGGCACTGGCCGCCCGCTGCCGCTGTCGACTACTTGGGCAAGCGGCTTGGAGACAGAAATGAAAAATATACTAAAAGGGATCGAAGTGGGTGGCGGTGCAAGGTCGGGAGGAGATGCCAGGGAGGTGTTGTAATTGTGTGTGTGTGTGTGTGTGTGTGTGTGTGTGTGTGTGTGTGTGTGTGTGTGTGTGTGTGTGTGTGTGTGTGTGTGTGTGTGTGTGAGTGAGTGTGTGTGTGTGTGTGAGTGTGTGTGAGTGTGAGTGAGTGTGAGTGAGTGTGAGTGAGTGTGAGTGTGTGTGAGTGTGAGCGTAAGTGTGAGCGTAAGTGTAAGTGTGAGTGTAAGTGCAAGTGTAGGTGTGAGTATGAGTAAGTGTGAGTATGAGTAAGTGTGAGTATGAGTAAGTGTAAGTGTGAGTGTGAGTAAGTGTGAGTGTGTGTGAGACAGAGTGAGAAACAGAGACAGACAGAGAGCGAAGTGAGAAAACAAGAACGGTAACAGATATTTACCCCCCCCCCCTCTCCTCATGTAAATGCCAGTGTTGCTAGTTAGTCGACTTGAGTGGGCGCTGGTCTGCCAACACCCTCACTTAACCTGCAATCTCACTGCAACGTCATCGCCAAAAATAGAGTGAACGGCAAATGCTTGATTTCTACGTGCTAATGGAAGAGGGCGTCGAGTGAGCAGGGAGAAGAAGCAGGTAAAAAGCAGGAGGTGGTGGTGGTGGTAAGCAGAACACCAAACCCCAAGACCATAACTTTACACCACGCAAAATATTTACGCCGCAAAACTCTACGGGCTAACAACGCCCACTTCCAGTGACCGACGCAACAAAAATCTACGGGTGTCGCACACCGCGTCTCCGCCCCCCCCCCCCCCAGCCCACAAGTACAGTTAGCAAGGGAGATGGAAGAGAGACTAAACTAGTTATACTCTCCCTGAACAACATCCCATCTGGATTACAACGACCACTATCTTGCAATATTGGGTAATATTTCTCTTGCCCAAATATAATGCCAGTTCTAGAATACACAAAAAAGGATGGAGAAGGAGAGGTAAGGGGAAGAAAATGGAAAGGAATAAGGAGAGAGGGAGGGAGAGGGAGGGATATTGGTGATAGCAATCTGTGATGTGCTGGTGGAAGAAAATTAGTTATGGTAGCTGTGATTGCAATAACTAATTAACGAAAGCTTTTTAAACACCAATCCTCTACAACCATGAGGTAGGTAAGTGGCCTGGCAAAGGTCTGGCAGACACGTAAATACAGGATCATTTCCTAGTCCTCACTACGGCTCAGGTATCTAGTGATGCCAAGATAAAGAGAACGAGAAAGAGAAAGAGAGAGAAAGATATTACTATTATATTCCTATCATCAAAAGACATTCAAAATAAACTGTGATCATATCGACCGCCAAGGAACGAGAGAGAGAGAGAGAGAGAGAGAGAGAGAGAGAGAGAGAGAGAGAGAGAGAGAGAGAGAGAGAGAGAGAGAGAGAGAGAGAGAGAGAGAGAGAGAGAGAGAGAGAGAGAGAGAGAGAGAGAGAGAGAGAGAGAGAGAGAGAGAGAGAGAGAGAGAGAGAGAGAGAGAAAGATGAGAGAGAGAGAGAAGAGAAAGAGAGAGAGAGAAAGAGAGAGAGAGAGAGAGAAAGAGAGAGAGAGAGAGAGAGAGAGAGAGAGAGAGACGAGAGAGAGAGAGAGAGAGAGAGAGAGAGAGAGAGAGAAGGGGAGAGGGAGGAAGGAGGGTTAGGAGGGAGGGAGGGAGGGAGGGAGGGAGGGAGGGAGGGAGGGAGGGAGGGAGGAAGGAGGGAAGGCTAGGGAGGGAGGGAGGGAGGGAGGGAGGGAGGGAAGGCTAGGGAGGAGGAGGGAGGAAGGCTAGGGAGGGAGGGAGGAAGGAAGGCAGGGAGGGAGGGAGGGAAGGAAGGCTAGGGAGGGAGGAAGGAGAGTGGGGAGGGAGGAAGGGATGGGGGGAAGGATAGGGAGGTAGGAGTTAAAGAGGGGGTGGAAGGGAGGAGGAGAAGGAGGAGTGGGGGAGGAGGAGGAGGAGGAGGAGGAGGAGGAGGAGGAGGAGGAGGAGGAGGAGTGGGGAGGAGGAGGAGGGGGAGGAGGAGGAGGAGGAGGAGGAGGAGTGAGGAGGAGGAGGAGGAGGAGGAGGAGGAGGAGGAGGAGGAGGAGGAGGAGGAGGAGGAGGAGGAGGAGGAGAAGAAGGAGGAGGAGAAGGAGGCGGAGGAGAAGGAGTGAGGAGGAGGAGGAGGGGAGGAGGAGGAGGAGGCGGAGGAGGAGGAGGAGGAGGAGGAGGAGGAGGAGGAGGAGGAGGAAGGAGGAGGAGGAGGAGGAAGGAGGAGGAGGAGGAGGAGGAGAGGAGGAGGAGGAGGAAGGAGGAGGAGGAGGAGGAAGGAGGAGGAGGAGGAAGGAGGAGGAGGAGGAGGAGGAGGAAGGAGGAGGAGGAGGAGGAGGAAGGAGGAGGAGGAGGAGGAGGAAGGAGGAGGAGGAGGAGGAGGAAGTAGGAGGAGGAGGAAGAGGAGGAGGAGGAGGAAGGAGGAGGAGGAGGAAGGAGGAGGAGGAGGAAGGAGGAGGAGGAGGAGGAAGGAGGAGGAGGAGGAAGGAGGAGGAGGAGGAAGGAGGAGGAGGAGGGAGGAGGAGGAGGAGGAGGAAGGAGGAGGAGGAAGGAGGAGAACGAAGGAGGAGAACGAAGGAGGAGGAGGAGGAAGGAGGAGGAGGAGGAGGAAGGAGGAGGAGGAGGAAGGAGGAGGAGGAAGAGGAAGAAGGAGGAGGAGGAGAGGAGGAGGAGGAGGAGGAGGAAGGAGGAGGAGGAGGAAGGAGGAGGAGGAGGAGGAGGAAGGAGGAGGAGGAGGAAGGAGGAGGAGGAGGAAGG